TTTTTCATTCATTTATTGAATTTAGTATTTTTTTTTACAATTATTTTCATTTTCATATTTTATGAATAATTTTAAAATAAGTAAGGAATGCATTTTAAATATAAATTTATTAGAATTAAAGTTGAAGATTTGCTAAAATAGTACCACATATCTAAATTTAATTAATTATCATAAAACTCATGTTTTTATAAATAATTTTAACATATATAAAGGATGTATTTGCTAAAATAGTACGACGAATAATATTAATTATTATAAAACAAATTAAAATGTCTCTTTATGTTAGACTTGTTCTAAGTTTTTCTAAAAATAACATTTATTTATTTGTTTGTAAGTTTGTTTGTTTATTAAATATTGTTTATTTTTAATAGATTTTTAGAAATTATTTTTATTTTCATATTTTTATAAATAATTGTAAAAAATAGAAGGAATGCGCTTAAATTTTTTTTGACATTTCTAAATAAAAATTATCATAAAACTTTATTAAAATGTCTCTTTATGTCAGACTTGTAGTGTAAATGTTTTGTTTTTTGCACTTTTAGCACCTGTTGATCTCAAGAGCCTCATGAATTATTCCCATTTTCACCCGTGACCCCATTTAAGGGCTGAAGTGTTTGTGTGCGCGCGCCTGTGTGTGTGCATATATGTATTCCAAGGACACAAACAAATGTAGATAAATACAAACAATTGTGCTTTATATTTTGTTGGGAAGTCCTACTAGTTGTCAAATACTGATATTGACTACACTCGTAGATTAGCACTTCTTTATATAAATTGAATGCAATTAATCTTTCATAAGGCTACAAATGCTTTCATTTCCTGCACCTCAATGTGCTAAACTCACTGATTTATACATTTTAAACAAAATTTATTGATATGGTTTGTTATTATTATTGTTATGGACTGTTATTTATCCTGATGTAGACTGGTGAAGTTTTGTTTCTTTGGTGAAGTTTTGTTCCTCGCCGCTGTCGCCACTGACTTGCTTGGTTTTGGGACTTGACCATCGATCGATTTGCTCTTCAGTGTTTGGACCTTCAGCAGTGAAAATTAAACCACACTGAAATGAACTAAACTAAAATTCAACTCTGAGAATTGTTTCAATTTACTAGAACTTCCATATTAAGCTGCTTGTGTGTCCCAAATCATATCATTAACATTATCAAAGATTTTTAAACTAATTATTTTTTATTATTTTTATAAATTACTTTAATTATTATAAACATTTTATAACCATTCAAGATTTTTTTAAATCAAACTTTGATGCATCACTTGCTTTTGTTTGTGTCTCGGACAGCTCTACCTATTAAAGTTTATTTAAATATTAATGACTACAGAATATGGGTTGCTCTACAAATTTGCTCTATAATTTTTTTATTATTATGGCAAGAATAAAAGCAAAAAAAAAAAAACACAGTTTTTTTTATTTTATTTATTTTTCATTTTTTTATTTATTTTTTTGTCAGATTTAGCCCACTTCTCAATTGACACATTAATGTCTGGTAAGAAATAATTTATTACTTAATTATAGTTTTGTAACTATTAAATTGTTTTGAGTTCAAAATTGTAATGTGTGTATGTATATATATATATATATATATATATATATATATATATATATATATATATATATATATATATATATATATATATAAACACACACATCAGTGTTAAACCTAAATAGTGGAAAAGCATTTCTGTAATTGTGTACCTAGGTCTCATTCATGCATCATACCGCTATGACATGATTATATGCTTTACTAAAAAGATCTTTAATCTAGTTTTGAACTGCAAGAGTGTGTCTGAACCTCAGACATTATCAGGAAGGCTATTCCAGACTTTAGGAGACATAAATGAGAAGGCTCGACCTCCTTTAGTAGACTTTTCTAGGTACTACCAGAGCTATTCTAGGTACTAACAGAAGTTTTGAGATCTTAAAGAGCGGGTCAGATTGTAGCATGACAGGAGGTCGGTTAGATAAAAAGGAGTTAGATTATTTAAAGAAATTTTTTGGAAGAAAGTAATATATTATTATATTAAATCCGGTACTTAACAGGCAGCCAGTGTATAAGGATAAATTTGGGGTGACATGATCATATTTTCTAGACCTTTTCTAGAATATTTTCTAGATATTTTCTTCAATTGAATTGGAGAAGCGGTAAATATGCATAATGCTTCTTCCTATTTCATTTTGGACATGTATGGGTTAAATTTGTTAGTATTGAGTCATATTGTTTTGGCTAACTTAACAATTGTATTTATTTTTTTTATTTTGTATACACTTGAAATAAAGTCTGAAGTCTGAAATAAATAGCGTGGGGTTTTATTTTGGGAAATTGGCCGAATGTTTCCTGTGAGGGTTTTGGGACTCTAGAGAGTGCTAGACTTCATACAGTATAAAAATCATTACATAAATAGAGTCCTCATAAAGTGTGTGTGTGTGTGTGTGTGTGTGTGTGTGTGTGTATGTGTGTGTGCGTGTGCGTGTGTGTGTGTGTTAATTTGCGCAGTAATTGCAGGCTGTAGGGCAGACGTGTGTGAGCATAATCAGTAGTGCCTGATGAATGGCTGTTTTCTGTCTGTTGTATTCTGGGAAAGGGCCGCTCCAGGATCCAGGTCTGTGTTTGCATTTGGTGTGTCAGAATAAGCGCTGCTTCTCGGTGTGAGTGCCGTTTGAGGTGTCAGAAGAGCCTGTGGTGTGTGTGGATCTCAGTGTGGTGTTTTCCCTGTCTCTCTGATTGCTCTTCAATCAAGCCTCTCTGTGAGAATGAGAGCAGCACAAAAGAGTGTGTTTGTGAACGCTTGGGTGTGAAGGCCTCGTGTGTATGTGAGTCTGTTTGCTGTCCACTTCAGTAAACGTCTCGCTTCTGGCTGGTTTGATTGTTGGTTGTGAGAAAACAACGTTGTGAGAGAATTTTATTAAGCTTTTCTTTTTCTTTTTTTCTGTTAACACGAGAAGACCTACAATTGAAGTCACAATGATTAGCCCTCTTGGATTTTTATTTTATTTTTTTTTTTTATATATATATTTTACAAACTATGTTTGTAGTTTGAAATTTTTCACAGTAATTCCTATAATATTTTTTTTGTATGTAGAAATTCTTTTTTGTTTTATTTCAGCTACAAAAAAACAGTTTTCAATTTATAAAAAAACATTTTAAGGTCAATATTATTAGCCCCCTAAGCAATTTTTTTTTTTTTTTGATTGTGTACAGAGCAAACCACTGTTATACCATGACTTGCCTAACTACCCTAACCTGCCTAGTTAACCTAGATAAGCGTTTAAATGTCACTTTAAGCTGAATACTAGTATACGGAAAAATATCCAGTTAAATATTATTTACTCATCATTGCAAAGATAAAATAAATCAGTTATTAGAAGTGAGTTATTAAAACCATTATGTTTAGAAATGTGTTGGAAAAAATCTGCTCTGCGTTAAACAGAAATCGGGCAAAAAAAAAATATCTAGGCTAATAATTCATAAGGGCTGTTAATTCTGACTTCAACTGTGCATAAATAAATATTGAAAATTGTTCAGTGTTAGTTAAAAAATGCTTGTGTGAGATTATTTAATTTGCATTTATCATAGTACACTATTAATCTTATTCTTCAATGTGGAAATGCACTCGTTTTCTGCGATTGTTTTAGAACTTCCGATTCAGCTGCCTATGAGAGAAAGGCTAGGAATAATATATAGCAGAAAGCTACTTGCTTTACAAGCAAGTGTTTGCATGACTACACAGACAAAGTAGAATAATACAATAAGAAAACATCAGTTTGCAACATCTAACATTTAACATCTAAAAATGAACAAAAGTGATGGAGACCGGAAGTCTTGAGCCAAAGTGAGTCAGATGGCTGCTGTAAGTGAATAATGTGACTAATCCTATTGGCCAGATTTTTATGAAAAGCTAACCTTATTATTATCTTTAAGTGCATAGAACTACTTGAAGGATTGATTTAGATCATTTGTATTGTTCATTGAAGTGTTCATTGGTAAAAAATCAAAATCAAATGAAACATTTGAAAATTCATATAAATGAAGTTATCTGCTTTTCTAATGCAATTTTTGTTTGTAATTTATTCCGCTTTATGTAATATTTACTTTTATAATACATTTCATATAAACATTTTGTATCTACATATATTTAAATGATCATTTCTTTTCTCCCATTTTTCCAAATTAAACTGCTAACTTTTAATACATTTTTTTATAATATATTTGTAAGTTGTTTATATAAAGATATATTTTATATATATCCATTACAGATTTTTTTATAAAGCCAATTTTATTTTAGTATTTGTTTATTTGTTTATTTTTCCCCAATTTCTGTTTAACAGAGAGAAGAACACATTTCTAATCATAATAGTTTTAATAACTCATCTCTAATAACTGACTAATTTTATCTTTGCCATGATGACAGTAAATAATATTTGACTAGATATTTTTCAAGACACTTCTATACAGCTTAATGTGACATTTAAAGGCTTAACTAGGTTGTTTAGGTTAACCAGACAGGATAGGATAATTAGGCAAGTTATTGTATAACGATGGTTTGTTTTGTAGACTATCGAAAAAAAATATAGCTTAATGGGGCTAATAATTTTGTCCTTAAAATGGTGTTAAAAAAATTTAAAACTGTTTTTATTCTAGCCAAAAAAAAAAAAAAAGACTTTCTCGAGAAGAAAAAAAATGATCAGACATATTGTGAAAATTATCTTGCTCTGTTAAACATAATTTGAAAAAATAAAAAAAATAAAAAATTAAAGAGGGGCTAATAATTCTGACCTTAATTGTATATATTTGAATTATAACAAATACATATATTAATTAGGTAAATAACAGGCTAAATAAATAACTTGCATCAGTAGGCTCTGATTTGTTTGTATTGTTTTTTTTTTTTATTAAACAGTGATATTGTATTTAATCAGACTTGACTGTGTTGCCAGTATCTGCTCATTCATCAGAAGTGTGTGTGTGTTTTTTGTGTATTGACAGGTTGACAGCGACACAATCTGGAATGAAGTTCACTCATCGAGTGCTGCTCGTCTGGCTGTGGGTTCAGTGGTGGATCTGGTGTTTAAAGTGGCATCAGGAGAGCTGAGGGTGGGACTAACAGTTTATGTTAACCTGTTTCTAAGTTTATTCTTAGATATTTGGGACTGATATTTGGGATAGATATTCTTATAGTGAATTAATCCTGATTAATATATATATATATATATATATATATATATATATATATATATATATATATATATATATATATCTTTTTTTTTTAATCCTCTTCCGTAGTTTATTCTGAAACTTAAATCCCAGAGTTTTCCAACTAAAATAAGGTCTGCAGCTTTTCCAGAAGTCTCAGGTTTCAAAAGCCCATGAGAAATGTGGATGCCAGGCATAACCATAGTTTTTAAATAAAAAATGTACCAGTGTAAACAAAGCTTTTAGAAGTTTAAGTTACCCATGCATCCTCTAAACTTCCTGGATGAGACCCAAATGATACAATCTACTTTTTAAGAGGACCTATTATGTCTCTTTTTTTACAAAATTTAAAATAAATGTCTGATGTACCTAGAAAGTGTATGTGAAGTTTTAGCAAAAAAAAAAATTAAATAAATAAAATATTACGGATACTTTTTATAACTCTTTGAAACCGCCTCTCTTAGGCTTTGATCCAAATTGTGCAGTTTTGGTGACTGTCGCTTTAAATTAAAATGAGATTGTGCTTCAGCCCTCTTATCGAAAGAAGGGAGACCTACAAATGCCTATGACACAACTATGAATAATAGTTAATTAACTAATGTTAAATAGTTAAATAAATAGAACTTAAAAAGTATTAATTAATTAATTTTTACTGTTAGTGGTTGGCTATATTCACACCCTGCTGCCACACAACTGTGTTTAAACACCTTATTAAAGTGATTTTTGCCTAATAGGTTCTTTTTAAAACACTGACATTCCTAAGCGTAACCTAACCCTGAGCGAGCTGCCGCCCTCCCGAAATCACAGCATAACACTGAACTGCAGCTATCATCGCTTTCATAACCCAGAAAAACACAATACACCCACTGTACATCATCCAGTGTCACCAGCTGCAAACTACACTCTCTTTCTGGATAAAATAATCATGTCCTCTGGAGTGAAGGAAGATGATAAAATCAGCTGCTGTCTGAACTGACTGAAAAAGATTAAACCAAAAATGAGAGTGTGCTGTTAATTTACTCATTAGCCTTTTCATTTCATTTCCATGCATCTATATTTAAGCGCATTTTAGATAAGCAGTGGATATTGCTTTAGTTATCTAGTTTTGTATTATTTTTAGTCATTTGGGATGCAGTGACACGCAGTCAAACACTTTGCCAAACAGATCCACTACTTCTGACGCCCATAAATTATCATAAAAGTTATTGTGCTGCAGGAATTAGGAGGTTTCCTGAAAGTGCAGCCGACGTGTAGAGAGGGGTTTGCGTCTTTAATAATCTATCACAGTTTGCGTTCATTGAAAAGTAAGAATGATTAATAAATCCATATGAAACAGTCTCTTTAAATTGATGTTGCGTCTTCGGTTTCGGGCTCAGGCGCACTTTGCGCTCACACTACAAGCGCACCGCGCCAAAACCCAATTGAACCATGCTCAGACACACCTTGTTTTGGACCCCATGAGTAAAACGGTTATTAAATCACACAGAATTAAGTTTTTTTCAAAATGTAAAAATGTCGATTGTTTCCTGTGAAGGCTGGGAGACACAAGATAAAAATTATTGCGTCTATGGGAAGTCCTCATAAAGGGTGCGTGTGTGTGTATTTTTGTGAAATATCAATAAACAAATTTGTCTAATGCCATGGGTCTATCATGGGTATTATCACAAGGAGAAGGTGACTTTGGAGGACATTACCCATGTCCTAATTTTTGAAAGTGCTTATAAATCATATAGAGTTGAAATCAGAATTATTAGCCCCCGTTTGATTTTTATTTCCTTTATTTAAAAATATTTCCCAAATGATGTTTAACAGAGCAATGAGATTTTCACATTATGTCTGATAATATTTTTTCTTCTGGAGAAAGTCTTATTTGTTTTATTGCAGCTAGAATAAAAGCAGTTATTGATTTTTTAAAAACCATTTTTGGGACAAAATTATTAGCCCCTTTAAGCTAATTTTTTTTCGATCTACAGAACAAACCATCATTATACAATAACTTGGCTAATTACCCTAACCTGCCTAGTTCATCTTATTAACCTAGTTAAGCCTTTTAATGTCACTTAAAGCTGTATAGAAGTGTCTTGAAAAATATCAAGTAAAATATTATTTACTGTCATCATGGCAAAGATGAAATAAATCTGTTATTAGAAATAAGTTTTTAAAACTATTATGCTTAGAAATGTGCTTAAACAATCTTCCCTCCATTAAACAGAAATTGGGGGAAAAAAGAGACAGGGACGCTAATAATTCACGGGGGCTAATAATTCTGACTTCAACTGTATAATTAGTTTTATTTATTTATTTTTGTAAAAATGTACATAGTTTCCTGAGTTGTGTTTTTAGGTATAGGATAATGGTAGGGCAATAGAAAATGCAATTTGCACAACATTAAAACAATGGAAACCTATGAAATGCCACCTCAATTCACAAAAACAAAATTTTTTTGTGTGTGTGTGTTTGTGTGTTGACAGAACGGTTTTGCTGTTGTGCGGCCTCCAGGACATCACGCTGAAGAAAGCACTCCCATGTACGTACTCGCCGTATCTCTGTGATCTCCAAACAAACTCCCCTCACACACACACACACACACACACACACACACACTGAGGATCATAAATCAGCGTTTTACACACAAATGAGTTCCAGCACTGCAGTGGACAGCCTGGCCAGCACAGCAGGGCTTCAGTACAGTAACGCAGCACAGTAGGCCAGTCTGATCTGCGCACTCACCCACAGCCAGACGGGGATGTAAATGTATTTTTCAGGAGTAAGGTAGACTTTGGGATGCATTTTCAGCGTCCAGCAATGAAAGGGGATTCCTGTAGCTTGGATGTAGAGTCTTGGCATTCATTCTAGGACCCTGTATTAAACAGATTCAAGTAATTATTGTATGACAAAATATGAGAGAATTTTGTTTTCTTTTCTTTTTAATTAACAACAGTATATAAAAAATAAATAAAAAACAATATGATATCACATATCAACTCAACTACTCCCCACCCCATCCCCTCCTGTCTCTTTAGAATGGGGTGTCTATAAATGGAAGATCAGTGCAAACCCAAACGCCAGAAATCATTAAATAAAATACAGCAATCAGGAGTGAGAGACCAAAAAATAGTACAGAGTAAGTTATTCATGCATTCCGACTACTGGTTTGCAGCTGGAAGGGCATCCACTGCATAAAAAATATGCAAGAGCAGTTGGCGGTTCATTCTGCTGTGGCGACCCCTGATAAATCGAGGACTAGGCCGAATTAAAGTGAATGAAGCCATTCATTCTTGGACCCAATCATTGTTTTGTGCAATAGACAATAATTTCTCTTTAATGTATGTTACTTTTTTAGTTATGAGGAACTACAGATCAGTTCTTTTTTCTGTTGTGAGTTTTTACACACAGCCTTGTTGCCATGATTTTCTATTAAGGTTTAGGTTAGGGTTTTTGGATCTCTATTCAGCTTTCAAGTGAAAAACAAATACTTGAAATTGTCTATTTATCTGTCAAAGACAAGACATCCTTTTTTAATGTTTTCCTAAGCCAGCCTTCCTATTCATCCACCCATCCATCCATCCATCCATCCACCCATCCACCCATCCATCCATCGTTCCATCCATCCATCCATCCATCCATCTTTCTATTGTTCTATCCATCCATCGTTTCATCCATCCATCCATCCATCCATCGCTCCATCCATCCATTTTTCTGCTATTTCATTTATCCATCCATGCATCCTTCCATCATTCAGTCTATCTGTCCATCCATTCCATCATTCTTTCCATCCTTTACATCCATCCCTTTTATCCATCCATCCATTCATAGATTGTTATGTTATTCTGTACATTCCTTTTTTCGTCTGTTTGTCTATGCATCCATCCATACATCCATCCATCCACATATTGTTCTGTAATTCTGTCCATCCATCCATCCATCCATCCATCCATTTATCTATTGTTCTATCCATCCATTGTTCTATCCATCCATCGCTCCATCCATTTATCCATCCATCCATCCATCCATCCATCCATCCATCCATCGCTCCATCCGTCCACTTTTCTGCTATTTCATTTATTCATCCATGCATCCTTCCATCATTCAGTCCATCCATTCCGTTATTCTTTCCATCCCTTACATCCATCCCTTCCATCCATCCATCCATCCATAGATTATGTTATTCTGTCCATTCCTTTTTTCGTCTGTTTGTTTATGCATCCATCCATCCACATATTGTTCTGTAATTCTGTTTGTCCATCCATACATCCATCCACATATTGTTCTGTTATTCTGTCTGTCCCTCCATCCATCCATCCATCCATCCATCCATCCTTTCCTTAAAAAATATATAGTAATCACTAAAAAAATTCAAGGCTTTAAACCATGGTAACAAATTTGAAAAAAAAAAAAAAACATTAATTCAACATCAACTCTGCCAACCTTTCCCCTGATTAAATCCTAAAACTCTTGAAGAAAAACTTTTCATCATTTATTTTATAAGATTTTAATGCTCTACTTTTTCCTTTATCCCTAATCTGGAAGCATTTTCTTGTATGTTTCTGACTGTACACAGTGTTCTCAGCATTCAAGCAACTTGGATGCATTGCTATTTATCTTAAAGCTTGATGGTTTATCCAAATGAATGTCAGGGATGGTTAACAGGGGACTAAATTCCCTGTAATTGCTGCGTTGTGCTGCTCTTAGAGTCTCCTCCCATCCATATTCCTCATTACGGAAAGGTTAAAGTAAACGACTGCTCCTCAAGTCTCCATGCTGAAAGGTTAAATAAAAGGATTGTTCCATCAATGCTGTGCTTTGGCTCATGCGCTCTGATGTCAAGCCAGGACGCAGTGGGTGAATTGTGTCATTAGCCAAATGAGAACATCCATCAGGCCAGGAGGTCCAATTCACAAACGGCCCTCCACGCAAGATCACACACCAGCCGACTCTCACACTCTGCTTACTTTAGAATCCTTCTATTGCTTTTTTAACTGTGCGCACATATACAGAGAACAAGATGCTACAAGAAAGGGACACTTCACTGCAAAATTTAAATCATTAGTAATTATTTGCCCATACTTCACTTGTTCCAAACTTGTTTGAGTGTCTTTTTTTCTGTTGAACACAAAGGAAGATATACTGAAGAATGTTGGAAAGCAGCAACCATTGACTTTCATTGCATGTTTTTGTTTGTGGTTGTTGTTGTTTTATCATGGAATTCAATTGCTGCTCCTTTGCAACAATCTTCGGAATATCTTGTTTTGTGTTCAGCAAAGGAAATTATTTCCTCAATTTTTTGTATCACTTGAGTCGAAGTAAACTGTGAGAACATTTTCATTTTTTGGGGAATGAACTATTCCTTTAACTTAAAGCAGTGGTCTCAAACTCACTTCCTGGAGGGCCACAGTTCTGCGCAGTTTAGCTTTAACCACCTCTAACATACACCTGCTTATCAGTCTCTAATAGTCTCGAACACCTTAATTATTTGGATCAGCTGTGTTTGATTAGGTTGGAGCAAAACTGTACAGAGCTGCGACCCTATAGGATTGGAGTTTGAGACCTATGGGTTACAGGATCACCTCTTTTTTTTTCTTAGTCAAGGGCGTCCGCAGGGTTTTAAAATGTTTTAAATGTGTTCAATTTCAAAAACTAAATGTTATAAAAGTCTTAAATTCACTGAAGTAGGGTGTTTTTAGTTCTTAAATCATTTTAAACTGGTCTTAATTTTTCAAATTTTCACTGACCCCTCTATTCACCAACAATCCATCTCAATAAAACTTTTAACAAACTCTGTTTTTTAGCTCTGTTAACCAATTTGGTTTAATTATCTTCCCTACAATAACATTTGTTTAAAAGTTCTCCATGAATATATCTATCTGGTAAGGACACTGATCTGGACAGTAGCTCATTAGTTTATTATATAGTGTTTAAATATTTCCTTCATTTTTTTAATAATAATAATAATAATAACAATATTCAATTCAATTTAATTCGTTTATTGTCATGTGCACAGTAAGGAAACACGTTTCCCTGTACAATGAAATTCTTACTTTGTCGCCCACAGTGAAGTCATACACATAACACACATCATGCACAACATAGACGTATATAAACATACACCTAAGTGATGGAAGTATAATTATGAAATGTGTGTGTATATGTGAATGTAAATCATGTATAATATTAATTGTGGAGTAATGTAAACAGGTGTAAACAAGTTATGCAAAAAAAGTGCCTAGTGCAATTGGCTTAGCAGTTGTATGCATTAATAGTGGAAACTGGCATTGGAACTGTTTATGTCCACTTGTTATCTGTTTAAAAGTCTGATAGCTGATGGGGAAGAAAGAGATCTTGAGTATAATAACAACAATAATAACAGCAATAATACTAATTATAATAATAGTTGTTAATATTAGAGTAATTTTTGAAGGATCATGTGACTCTGAAGACTCGTGTAATGAAGCTGAAGAAGTGCATATAAGTAGACTTTGCTTGTTTTTATGCTTTATCTGAAATATTTTGCTCAGATATATATATGTATTTTTTTTATTATTCAATGAGTACAAATCTTTTCCACCCGCCATTATATGTCTAAAATAGAATTCATAATGTTCTTAAAAAGTCTTAAAATTGACTTTGTGAAACCTGCAGAAAACCTTTTAGTCTTAACACTTTTGCAACTACTCCATATTTTAACAATAGAAAAAAAAACTCATGTACATCTATCTCTTATATCTCTTATATACAAGTTAAGGTAAAATGTGCAATAGTGTGGTAAAAAAAAAACTAATTTAAAGGAATAGTTCACCCCAAAAAATGGCATTTTACTCGCTAATTACTCTCTTTAGAGTGTTTCCTAACCCCACAAAAGGAGATATTTTGAAGAATGATGTAACCATTCACTTCCATAGTAGGAAAAACAAATACTGTGGAATATCTTCTTTTGTGTTCAACAGAAGAAAGAAACTCATACAGGTTTTAAAGGAAGTAATGTATAAGTAAATTATGAGAGTTTGATTTTTAAGTGAACTATTCCTTTAAAGTGAATAATACTTTGGCATCCGCTGACTCTAACACTGGTTTTGTGCTTGTTAACAATAAATATAAATGCTATAAATTTTCATGTAATAGAGAAAAAGAACACAAAAAAAAAAAACTGAAAAATACTCAATTGAAAAAATACAAACGGAAAAATCATCAGGGATATATTAAGTAATGCAACTGGAGATAGTAAATCTTCATCAACCACTTATATCACAACAGCTTAAGATGTGTGGACATTGTGGTTGATATTCCTGCTTTCTGCTTTTGTTTTTGACACAATCAACAGGGGATTTTGCTATTTCAACTCGGTCGCCATCGCAGCCAAACTCCTGCAGCAGAGACTCAACGTCAGCAAGATTCTCATCGTGGACTGGGTAAGTTCACGCTCGAGCACTTTATATGTCTTTTACTTTATTACATGAAATTATGTAATCTTCATAAGTGTGCTTTTCACTGTGCTGCTAGAGTCAAAGGATTGAATTGCACAAATAATAATCATTTTCAACAAGTCCCAACTTTTTGCTGGGGGAAAAAAAGAATTTTCAATGAATGGTCAGTGGACTGTTTGGTTAGTTAGTTAGTTAGTTAGTTAGTTAGTTAGTTAGTTAGTTAGTTAGTTAGTTAGTTAGTTAGTTAGTTAGTTAGTTAGTTAGTTAGTTATTTTTAAACATAACCAGTCACGTCACAATTTGTTTCCTGTTTAATAAATTACATTTATTTTGTTCAATAATGATATTTGGATTTGCTTTATAACAATACTATTTAATGTTATTATGAGTAGCACTAATCCTGTTTTCGTATTTATAATGATATAATAAATAAATAAATAAATATTCATAATAAATACACAAAAATAAATATTTAATCTTAATAAATACATGTAAATAAATAGTTATAAATAAATATTAATAAATTTACTACCTGGTACTGTTTAAAAAAGGAATTAATTCTAAATGCTAATGTTGTATTTTTTTGTTTTTGTTTCATTTAAATATACAAAAATATAAACACTTTCTTTTGAGATATATATATATATATATATATATATATATATATATATATATATATATATATATATATATATAATGTTTTGTTTTCTTATATTTTGTGTTTTTAAAAAAGACGTAATGTTGTTTAATATACAGTATAATATTAATATTTATTTACATTGTATTTTAATGTTGTATTTTTGTTTTATGTAAATATATCTAAATATTAACATTTCATTTTGACATTGTATGTATTTTTGTTATTTTTTATATTTTGTGTTTTTAAAGATATGTAATGTTTTAATTTTGAGCAATATCACATGAGTAGCAGTGCATTATGGCTGTATATCGGCACCAGTGGGAGGTGTTCGTTGACTTGAGTCCGCATGCCAAGTGCCTTAGTATCCCACCAGTGACAATATAGAACCACATCGCACTGCATCGAGAGTGATATTGCGTTTATGCAACAGTTTGACAGCATAAATGTGTATATAAAAAAGAAAATCAAACACAGAAAGTCTCAAAAACCCTTTTGTATGAGGAACTACTTTCTTCCACCGTTCATACACATCTGCAGCTGACGTCAGAACAGCAGAAACAATTGCTACTTCACCAACGTCACTTTAGAGCTAGTGTTTGAATGATTCTCTAGCGTAATGTCTTAAGTGATGACAAAACAGGTGATTTTGCTCACATCTTAAGATTATAAGGCGGAACAGCATGAAATGCCATCAGTCTGGAGTTTACAATAATTAACATTGAAAAAGCCAGAACATGCGAACGCTACCAGATTGCTATGGTATAAACATAGCACAACTACAACCACATGCCCACCTAAAAATGCTTCAAAAATACATTATGTTGTCCAACAGCTGTAATATTTGTCAAACTGTAGTCCTCTGCTTGACACTCTTGTGGGCGGAGTAATACACAAGGGTGAAGAGGCTGTATGAGTGCTGATGAATACAGCTATTAACAGTATTCAGAACAGAATAGGGAATTGAAAAAAATAAGAATAAACAAACAAATAATATAGTGTTTTTTACTGTAAACATCAAGTCTAATCATATTTGTTGAAATGTAGAAATTTAGGTAAGGGATGCATTCTATATTCTCGATGCGTTTTTGTTTTGCATTCATCCAAATGAATGGCCAATTTGTGCGTGTTTTGCTTACTTAATGAAACAAGTCCCTTTAAAATAAAGCGCACAGTACATTCTGGTTAAAATAAGTGGTTTTTGAAATCATTGTAAATAAATTGATAATTTATAATTGATTATTCAGGGATTTAAAATAATGTCATTATAAAAACACATTTTATTATTAAAAAAACAACAACAACAGTATGAAAATAGTTAAATAAAACCAATAAAGTAGTTTGTGGTATGTGGAACAGTCTCGGACTCATCCGTGTCCAGCGGTGTCCTGAAATGGGTCGACACGCACAGGAAGCCGGGTGGCGTCGGGACAGACCTCTGCTGGGGTCATTAGGGTTTCTGGATGCCTCTTAAAATGCCTTTCATTTCCTCCTGTCTGTCACACGGCTCTTCTGACGGACCTGCTGGACACGGACAAGCTGATGAGCGTGACATGAAAAGAAATGAACAAAGCAATACAGCGCTCTTAAAAGCGACTCTCCTGCATCATAGACTGCTCAGAATAGATGTTTACACACTTTTTATTTCAATGCGAACACACCAGAGTGACGAAATGTCTTTCACAGCATCTGATTTTCACATTGCTTAAAGCACTAGAGGCAAAAAAAAAATGTGCCGTTTTAGATTTTACCCTTTTCATAGTGTTTTCTTTTTTTCAGTCTAATGAAAATGTACATAACACACTTTTAAGTTTTTTTTTTCTATCGCTTTTTATCAGTTTGTAGATAGCTTTATGCGAATTAGCGCATATTTAATTGGCATGTAATGCAAAAAACACAGTAGCGTTTTTCAAACCTTGACTAAAATGTATGTATATTATTAAAGAACGTTTCCTCAAAATGATTAACAGAGGGTGATTATATATATTTTTTATTGACAATATTTTTAAATTATGTGCAATAATAAAAAGAAAACGCCTACCCTAAATAACCTTTGTAAAAACCGTGACTTCATTATGACAATAAAACAAGATTTTTGATCCTGACTGCATCCAATTGATTGATTTCTGTGCTAGATTTATACAAATAAGTGCTTTCTTAATTGCCTTAATAAAACATAGCATTTTAGAAAACATGTAATGCTAAAAACACAGTTTTTTAATGAGCCTGTAAATTAGATTTTGGCCTTTAGCCTTTTAGTGTTTTATTTGTTAGTCAAATGTAAGTAAAACAGCCATGACACACCAAAGTGTTTCTTTTATCAGTTTTTTATCAGTTTGAAGATGTCAGTATTAGTTTGACTCTAATATATGCATATAATTAAAGATCGTTTTCTCAAAATTATTTACTGAGGGTGATCCTGACTGCATCCAATTTTTAGATTTCTGTGCTAGAAATTTATGAAATTAGCGCATATTTAATTGCTTTATTAAAAACAAAGCATTTTAGACATTTATCAATTTTATTATGTGCCTGTCAGTTTTTATATTTCGGTCTTTTTGGCTTTTCATCAAGTGTTTTTTTTTTTTTTTTTCAGTCAAATGTAATGAAAGCATCCATGACACGTTTACATGTTTCTTCTATTGCTTTTTTATCAGTTTTTATAAGGGGTTGATATCTCAAAATATTTTTTCTCTCTCCTGCACTGGTCTAACAGGGTTGTGCTTATTCTCTTAAGGCAAGGCAAGGCACATTTTATACACAGTGGCAATTCAAAAATTATGTTATGGGTTAAGTTATGGGTGTGTTTTGAGCATAACATGCATTAAACCAATCAGAGACTCATCTCCCATTCCCTTTAAGAGTCAGTTGAGTCATGCCATGGCGTATTTGCTATTTACATGACAGACTTTGTTAGTGGAAAAATTGAGCGCTTCACTAGCGAGAAAACAGTTAAACAAACCATCTGCAGCACAAGGATAAAGAAGGATAAAGAACAAGCCTTCTCTATTCGGCCTTTCTCTTTTTATCTTTCGTGGATAAGGAAACTTCTAAGTTCAGTCTTAATTTCCAGCAAACGAATAAATGAACAATAATAACAAAGTGAGGTCAAAAAACTGAGTTATATCCAAACACACATGCTATGCCCCATATGGTCCAAAATCTGACAGGTGGACAAATCTAAACTTGTTTCAATAAAACAAATATAAATATGCATATAATAAATAATACAGCTAATAATAATAGCATTATACAAAAGATCGCTGAGACGAAGAAGCCATGGAGGCAGTGGTTTTTATATTTATATAGTAAATAATAATTTTTGTAATGTTTAATCCTTTAATTATTTTTTATTTGTAAAGATGTTTGCATATTGCTCTACATCCTGCGTGTTTTATGCAATGTGCAAGCGAGGTGCACAACTGACTTGCTCTGCGCTGGACATTAGACCTGCTTTCTGGTCAATTGCGCAGTCTATTTTATTTCTTCAAAATAGCAACGTACCAACAATGCGCCTTAACACAGCTCTTTTCTAGACCAGCACACCAATGAGTTTACAAAGTGGTGCAAATGGATTTGCTTATTAAACAACATGGCACAAACGGGAAAATAGCAACACGTTGCGGCAAACACGTCTTGCGCCTTATTGCTCTGGGTATTTGATAGGGCCCCTTATTCTCAGAAGCATTTTTTTCTTCTGCGCTGAACCATAAATTTATCATACACTTCAGCAGCACCCATTAAAACCTTGACTCCAATATAGCAATTAAAAAACAAAACAAGAAATTTGATCCTGACTTCATCCAATTTTTAGACTCACGTGCTAGATATTTATGCAAGTTAGCACATATTTAATTGCCTTAATACAATCATAGCATTTTAGAAAACATGTAATGCAAAAAAACTATTTTTTTTCATGTGCCACAATTTTTTGGTTTGGCCTTTTTACCTTTTCATAAAAGGCATTTTCATTTTTTTTTTCCCAGTCAAATGTAAAGAAAACGTCCAAAACACTTTTACTTATTTCTTCTATTGCTTTTTATCCATTTGTAGATATCAGTATGTATTTTTCATACCTTTACTCTAATTTTAGCAATTCATACAATGAAACAAGAACTTTGATGCTGACTTCATCCAATGTTCATATGTCCGTGCTAGATGAATAAGCAAATCAGTGCATATTTAATTGTCATATTAAAACACAGCATTTTTTTAAAACGTGCAATGAAAAGAAAAAAAAAGATTCTCCTCACCTGCAGTGTCTTGTCTTAAACAGATATTGTAATTTGCCAACGAAAGGACAAAAAAGAACAAAAGGATAGCATCTGAATTATATGTACTGTGCTTTAGGATGTTCATCATGGAAATGGGACGCAGCAGGCCTTTTACAGTGACCCCAATGTGCTGTATCTGTCTCTCCATCGCTATGATGATGGAAACTTCTTCCCTGGCAGCGGAGCTCCTGATGAGGTGTGTTTTTAGCAGTTTTTATACATAATACAATTCAACAGTTTAGTCTACACAAATATCAGATTTTTGATCAGTTTCTTTTGTCAATGTGTTGCTTACAATTATTTATCATTAGCCACAAACCAAAATGAGATACTTAGAATAGTTTTTTGGGGTCCCACTTAATAGTAGGTGTCCCTAACTGCTACAGTAAGTACTTCTATCAAAAAGTAAATACAATGTACTTAATGTGTTCATAATCCATTGTAGAACATTTCTGATCCTCTTGAAAGGTGGGATATGGGTAGGGTTAGGGACAGGTTTGGTGGTATGGATAGGTTTGACGGCTGTTCAGCTGTAAGGGACGGTCAACAGTGTAATTATAAATGTAATTACTGAAGTTAATTACTGATGTGGCTACATGCAGGTATATAATCAATCATAAGTGCAATGTAAAAACATTTATTTGAACAATAAGTACATTGTAATAAATGATTAATTTCAGTGTAAGCACGTACTGTATTAGTTAAGGCCACCTAATAAAAAGTGGAAACTCTTTTGGTGTGCTTTACACTCAGCCTTAGTATGCTTTTAGCATTCAGTCTACATAAATATCAGGTTTTTGATAATTTGTTTCATTACTGTATTGCTTACAATTATTTATCATTATCCACAAACCAAAGTAACATACATAAAATAGTTTTTTGGGTCTCACTTAATATTAGGTTGCCCTAATTACTATATATGTGCATTAAAAATGTACTTACTGTGTTCGTATTGTATCTTAGAACGCTTCTGGTGCTCTTGTGGTGGGATGCGGGTAGGGTTAGGGCCAGGTTTGATGGGGTGCTCAACAGTGTAATTATAAATGCAGTAAACTACAGATGTGACTACATGCAGGTATTTAATCAATCATAACATGTATTTGAACAATAAGTACATGATAAGAAATGATTAATTTTAGTGTAAGTTCTTCGTGGGACCTCTTTTTGTGTGTTTGTGTGTTGCATATTTTACATTTAGCCTTATTATCAGGTGATTTTAATAGAAAATATTTCTAATAAAATAAAAATTGCTTTTAATAGTCTTTTAAATGTCACCGTCCCACATGTAAAATATTTAGTCTAACCCTAAACAAATGTTGACAAACTATTTACATCGTATGCAAATATCACATGACTCGTTCCAGAATTATGCTTACAACAATTAGTAACAAGTGGTTCTGTTACTAACTATAGTTTCACTTGTTGTTTTCTTCACCATACCACAGTTTGACAATAAAAGAGTTGACATTTTTTCACCATTTTGTGCTTGAGCTAACCCAAAATAAACACATTCTAACTAACCTTTTTTTTCTCAGACCGTTAAATCTCACTGTATATTGTGAATATTCAGTATATCACATATCAACCTGACAGTTGCTCATGTTTTCCTCTTATTCGACTCCAAGTTCTCTAATCTCTAGTCATAATTAATGCTGATGGTCTTTAATCCTGTAAATCAACTCCTGCCTGTGAACTAATAAGGGGATTGAAATTTAATTGACTCTCTAGTAGCCCTAAATTCTGGTATTAGTCAGAGTGCATTTGGCTTTGGCATAAAACCTCATTACAGTTTTGCTCTGGTCATAATTGTTGGGATTTGTCCTTTATTGCCTCTGTGACATCAGCTTTAATTTAGCGGTCTCGCTGTGGAAACACGATTCATTAAAGCGGCTCATCTGCTCCAGTTGAATGTCTGATTTGGTTTGAACTGTATTTTTGATTGTCTACAGGTGGGCATTGGTCCAGGTGTGGGCTTTAATGTCAACATGGCCTTCACTGGAGGTCTGGAGCCACCAATGGGGGATGCAGATTATCTGGCAGCATTCAGGTAATACTGTTACGCATTTGTACCCATTACACCAAAACAAGGAGGATAGTCTTTAAATGTAGCTTAGCATCTTAAATGATCATCTGGAATGAGCTTTGTCTTTTAGATTATATGATTGTCATATTTACACTGTATAATATACACTTGCAATTCTGAGTGTGCCTTACACAGGTGAGTGGGCTTGACAAACCACCTGTAGAAGAAACACTCTTTTATATCTCCGACACTTTAACTGACCACTTTCACACAATTGCACCAGAAATTTTCTTAAAATCACTCTTATCGCTATAAAAACATTGTGCATTTCTGAGTGTGCCTCACACAAGTGAGTGAGCTTGACAAGCCACCTGTACGACACTCTCTTTCATCTCTCTGACACTTTGAATGACCACTTTTGCACAATTGCACCAGACACTTTCTTAAAATCACTCCATATGTCTATAAAATCATTGTGCATTTCAGAGTGTGCCTCACACAGGTGAGTGGGCTTGACAAACCACCTGTAGAAAACACAGTCTTTTATCTCTCTGACACTTTAACCAACCTTTTTTCGCACAAGTGCACCTGATACTTTCTTAAAATCACTCTGTATCTCTATAAAAACATTGTGCCTTTCTGAGTGTGCCTCACACAGGTGAGTGAGCTTCACAAACCACCTGTACGGCACACTCTTTCATCTTTCTGATGATTTGACCAACCACTTTTGCACAATTGCACCAGACACTTTTTAAGATCACCCCATATCTCTGTAAAACATTTTGCATTTATGAGTGTGCCTCACACAGGTGAGTGGGCTTGACAAACCACCTGTAGAAAACACAGTCTTTCATCTCTGTCACTTTACCCACCTTTTTCACACAACTGCACCAAACACTTTCTTAAAATCACTCCATATGTCTATAAAAGCATTGTGCATTTCAGAGTGTGCCTCACACAGGTGAGTGGGCTTGACAAACCACCTGTAGAAATGGTTGGTGTTTGATAAGTAAGGGACGTTAAAGGATTTTAATGGAGGCAAAGAACCACACGATGCATAATGGAGTGCATTAAAATCCTTCTTTCTTTTTTTTTCCTTTTAACTTTAATTTCTTTTTTATATTATTAATAAAATTGTTAATTTTCATTAAATCATGTATTATCATCATTATTGTTTTTTTTATTTTTGTGATTTATTTATTAAGATTTATTTTATTTGTTTTGTTTTGTTAGTATTTTTTGTTGTTGTTTGCTTAAAGTGTAGTGCTTCATGGGGGCTGCATTTTGGATTTGCATATATATTGCAGGGTTTTAGTAAAGTTTCTCAGAATTGATTCAGTTTGGGAAATGGCACCATACTGATGAAGGACACAGTAGACACTTGTAACTAATGCACAGATATACAGTATGTATCGTACTGTTTTCATTATGGACTTTTCAGTGATTTATTAATTACTCCCTCAACTCCCAGCAGCTGTTAAGTCTGAGATTTTATGTGAACACACATGTCACTGACTGAGGCCTGTTTAAGGCTGAATTTATCACAGAGTAGCGTCCTTTTATTGGACGGGCAACCCTGGTGACCTCACAGCCAACAGCAGGACTGTATTTGCCCACAGCGTGTAACTCAAAAAAAGCATGTGATGATGGAGAGCATTGGAGGAACTAACAGAAAAATATATATTCTGAAGAATGTTAGAAAAAACATCCATTGACATCCATATTAGGGCATAAAAATAGTTAATTTTAATCTTGTTTTGTGTTTAAATACATTTTAGAACGTTACTGCGAGTGAATAAAGAAGAAATGGTAATTTTGGGGTGAACTGTCTTTTTAAAAAGCAATTTCAGAGATAATCAAAGGCGCTGTTTCAAGACATATTTAGATGCCTGTGTTGCCTACAGTTCACTTTTTAGATGAAACCTCATAAGTGGGCAGTTCGAAACAGTCTAGACAGGAAGCAGCTTGATTCAGTTCACATTCTGTCTCAGGTAAATTCATAATTATTTTAAATTTGCACAATTGCGGTAATATAAAAAGAATTAAATATTGAATGATCATATATATATATATATATATATATATATATATATATATATATATATATATATATATATATATATATGCATGTGCAAAAATATATATATATATGGAGTAAAACAGCATATTATCAAAACAAACAAGTTGCTCTTCATTTGTATAAAGTTGAAGGATTATTTGTTGCATTGTCAGACATGCCCACATGTGTCTCCAGCAGTCGCCGTCACTTGCATAGCCTGAAGTCGCTTTTTCGGATGTTTGGATTTGATCGTGCTTATTTCTTCTACTTATACCTTGGACTTTCTTGTAATTGTGTTTTAGTCAGTCACTAATAAAAAAATGCCTTCTTTCATTCACCCGTTACTTTTTTGATATTTTGAAGAATGCTGGAAACCGATTGCCATTGATTTCCATTCAATATCTTCCATAATGGGTGTTCCCACCTTGAGGTTCCTTTGGTAATTTTTAATGATGATGTTCACAGTAAATGAGTTTCCTTGAACGCTGAAAATAAACATTGTGAAGGTAAAACACTAAACATAGATGGATTCCATACATAAAATACTGAATTCTTGTGTATTTTTTAGATTGACTACCCTTTTGTTATGTTTGGGGCTGTTTGAGCCCCATTGACTTCCATTATAGCCACATGTTTGCAGAGCATGACACCAAGTAATCAGGCATTCTTTATTGTTGGTGGTTTTCCCTGTTGGGAAATCTTCATTTGAATTAGATTTAACAGATTTCAAAGACATTATTTTTGAATTAATTAGTTATTATTATCATTGTGCCTTTTGTTGTGTAATTAAAAAACATATTTTTAAATATATTTTACTTAAATTAATTTAAATGGCCACCATATTCTAACAAATATGTTATTTTAGTATTTAACCAAAATAAAAACCTCATAAATATTAAAAAAGCGCTTGAGCGTGAGTAAAAAATAGGTTAATTTTGATTGAACTATATCTTTAACTAACACCCATATGACAGCCTAACAGTGTGAAAAGCCCCAAGCAAAGCTGCGTTTTCACAGGGATTTCCACGAACTGGTGTTTGGGAATTGGTGGCAGAACCGGGGTCTTGTAACAATTTGTATAAGCGCTTCTCATCCATTGAACTGTCCCTTTTGTCTGTAGCAGGGGCTGATGGGAGTCTTTGATGGGGAGCCAGTAAAGCTGAGGTCCATTAGCATTGGTGTTAGAGGCTATTAATAACCGCTTCCCTCATGGCCCGATTCGAGACGCTCTTTGAAGACGGGCCTCCATGCCCAACGTGTTCAGGCTGCTTCGCCAGGTACACGGCTAAAATATGGCCATGATACGACAGGATAGTCTTTGCTCATCCCTGTTTTTCTCAAACCCACCACCTCTTTCTCTTTGACCCAATCGGCCTGCTCTCCGTCTGTCTGTCTGTTGTCGTAAATCTCTTCCCAACACGTCTTCGATAAATTCGCTTCAGCCTCTCCTCACGCAGGGTGTAAGTGATGCCAGCTGAGCCTGACCCTTCTGTGTTGATGACCTCAGATATCTCCTCTGCATCAGCACCTGGGTGAAGATGCTCCATTGAGTTGGAAAAATTGGGAAGGTTTTGTAGTTTGATGTGGAGGATGGCGCTGCGCAATATATTAGGTTAGGGTGTCGTCATAATTACTTTACACTAGCACTAACTTTGTAACTGTCTAAAAGTCATTAATGGGCATTCCCACCTTGAAAATGCTTGGGTAATGTTTATGATGATGTTTACTAACAGCGAATGAGTTTCCTTGAACGCTGAATATAAACATTGTGAAGATAAAACACTAAATATTGATGGATTCCATACATAAAATGCTAAATTCTTGTGTATTGTTGAGATTGACTACCCTTTCGTTATGTTTGGGGCTGTTTTTGCCCCATTGACTTTCATCATAACCACATTGTTTGATTGCAGAGCATGACACCAAATAATTAGGCATTCTTCCCTGTTGGGAAGAGGTTGAATTTGCATTTTTTGCTGTTGATCAATAGTTGGCTGCGTTAACCCTTTAGATAGACATGTGCAAACAATGTTAAGGCTTTTACATGGAGTAAAACAGCAGATTATCAAAAACAAGTTAACAAAGGTTGCTCTTTATTTGCACAAAGTTGAAGGATTCTCAACTTTGTTGCAACATCAGACATGCCAACATCTATCACCAGCTGTTGCTTGCATAGCCTGAAGTACTCTCCATTGAAATGAACGGTCACTTTGTTGCTGTGTGTTGCTCGTTGTGTGAATGGAGCTTAACCCTCCGGGGTCTGGGGTGATTTTGGGGCCCTCGGGATGTTTGGATATGCTCTGACATTTGTGCTTATTTCTTCTACTTTGGACTATCATGTAATTATGTTTTAATCATTGCAAACTCCCATGCTTCTTAAAAGTTTTTAAATATCAAGGCCTGGAAAGTACTGAAAAACAAACATTTGTCCTTGAAAGTGCTTGAATTAAATTTGGGGAATAATGTTTATGGTGTTACTTCAACAATTGCAATTTGCTGCTGTCAAAAACAGAATGAATAAACAGAAATTCTTAATTGAAAAATCTTGCATTTAAATCTTGTACAGTAACAACGACAAATAATGCACACTTAATCAAAATCTGTGAAATTACATTTGATCATTATCGGTATTAAATTCAACACATTTTATTAAAGTTTTTTAAATGACTGCTTAAAACCATCTAAATTTTGGAAAATTACTCATGCATTTTAAATGTAAATATTAAGTGAAATGCTGGAACATGAGTTACAAAGGTGTTGATTTCAAATTAATGGCGTTCATGAAAGAGTGGGAATATATATATATATATATATATATATATATATATATATATATATATATATATATATATAGTTGAAGTCAGAATTATTCGCCCCCTGTTTATTTTTCCCCCAATTTCTGTTTAACGGAGAGATTTTTTAACACATTTCTAATCATGATAGTTTTAATAACTCATTTCTAATA